CACACCCTCGCTCTCGCACACCCTCGCTCTCGCACACCCTCGCTCTCACAGTCTCTCTCACGCACACCCTCGCTCATGCACACCCTCTCTCACACACACTCTCTCACACACTCTCTCTCACACACTCTCTCACACACACTCTCTCACACACACTCTCTCACACACACTCTCTCACACACACACAACACACGCACACAACACACGCACTCACTCACTCTCTCTCACACACACACACACTCACTGTCTCTCACACACACACACACACACATACCCTCTCTCTCTCACACACACATTCACTTTCTCTCTCTCTCACACACTCACTCTCTCTCACACACACAGTCACTGTCTCTCTCTCTCTCTCACACACACACACACACACTCTCTCTCTCTCTCTCACACACACACATTCACTCTCTCTGTCACACACACTCATTCACTCACTCTCTCTCACACACACACTCACTCATTCACTCACTCTCTCTCTCACACACACACTCACACGTACACTCACTCACTCTCTCTCTGCTTATAAATTCTGTGTCTTATACCCTCTCTCTCACACTACGCCTGAAGAAGGAGTGAGTTCCAAAACTTTGCATTTTCAAATAAACCTGTTGGACTATAACCTGGTGTTGTGTGATTCTTGACCATGACAACTTTAATAATTACTTCAAACATTTTCCCTGTGACAGTTGTTAAACTAACCAGCTAGTACTTTCCTGCTTTCTACCTCCCTCACTTTTTGAGTAAAAGAGTTACATTTTCTATCTTCCAAATTAATGGGACTGTCCCAGAATCAAGGGAGTTTTGGAAAATTAAAAGCAATGTATCAGTGATCTTATAGTCAGTTCTTTCCAAACCCTCAGATGGAAGTCTGTCATAATTTACTCAGTACCACTTCCCAGTGATTGTGATTTTCCTGAGTTCTTACCCCCATTCCATTTCCTGATTTATTGCTGCTTCTGGGATGTTACTTGTATCCTCTAGAGTGAAGACCGAGACAAAATACCTGCTCAGTTAATGTGCCATCTCTTTATTTTCATTTATTAATACCCCAGACTCACTTTCTATAGGGTTGAGTTGATAAGTTTGATACTATCTCCAACTTCTGAGTTAACCATGAAAGGGTATCCTCCTCTGGAATTTTTTTTCTCCTATTTGAACTATTTCATGTGTTTAAAATTGTCCGAGTTATTGTCTATGTTCTATGTTCTCTCTATCTCTCTCTCTCACTCACTCACTCACTCACACTCTCTCTCTCACACACACACACAAATACACACACACAGGCTCACACACCCACACACGCTCTCTCTCTCACACGCACACGCTCTCTGTCTCGCGCGCACATGCTCTCTGTCTCGCGCACACACGCTCTCATTCTCACACACACCCGCTCTGTCTCGCGCACACACTATCCCTTCATGAAATCTTCCAGTTCACTTTTCCATTTCTGCTTTCATGTTGGCCAATTGTAAAGGCTTGGGCTCTTTGTGCACATTGATCATGAGCCCCTCATTGATTGCAGGCAGAGTTTAATTATTTCTCAGCTCCAACTCAAGGGTCTGTAATGTGGCCTCTGATGGAGAGTCCTTGAAATAAATGTGGAATGTCACTGGGCTGGGTATGTGCAACAGGAGGGAAGGGAGGGGGCTGACAGCGGGACGGGGCTGACAGCGGGAGGGGACGGGGGAGGGTGAGTGTCTGCAGTTAGGGATGATATCTGTGGGGTGGGGGTGTGTAAGGCTGAGGGGCAGTTGATTGCAGGAGAGGGGAGCGTGCACCCGCGATTGGGGAGGGTGAGTGTTGGCTGCATTTGGGGAATCGAAGTTTATCACCCATTTTGTTTTAACAGCACACATCTTTGACAAATTATGGGAGACCAAAGATTGATGGTGAATTAAAACTCTGCTCCATAGTTAACCGAACAAAACAGGATCGGTGAGTGTACCCCAGTGAGAGTCAGTGTGTATGGGACTGTACCCCAGTGAGA